GACTTACAGAATGCACATCTCCTTAGTGCTTGACCTCTCCTTATTTTCTGCAATTCAAAGCTAGTCATCAACCAATTGAAAGGAGAATACGCAGCCAAAAATGACTGTATGGCAGCTTACATGAAAACAGCGAATTCTTTGTTGGCAAAATTCGACCATCATGAACTAAATCAAATAACCAGGGATCAGAACACGCATGCAGATGCCTTGGCCTGCCTAGCCTCCGCCATCAACTCAGAAAATCAAATGGACAATTGAAGTAGGATTCATCCCTGAGCCGAGCATTGCCCCCTCGGAGTCGATCCAAATTGATGTCATAGAATCAGGTCCAAGCTGGATGGACCCTATCACTGCATTCCTATCTTCTGAACAGTTCCCGGTGGACAAGAAAAAAGTACACAAACTGCGAAACAAAGTCCTGCGATATTACTTGGATCTGCTAGGACAGCTCTACAAAAAATCCCTTTCTGGTCCATATCTAGAATGCGTTTATCCAGACAAATTCGAAGAACTCCTGACTGAAATACATGAAGGTAGTTGTGGTGCCCGTTCCGACGGGCGCTCTCTGGCTCGTCGAGCTGTGACACAAGGGTATTATAGGCCGACAATGAGAGCTGATTTCGAGTGTTACGTCAAGAAATGTGAACAGTGCCAGACGTTTTCCCCTTTAACACATTTGCCAGCTAAAGAGTTAAGTTCTGTCACCAGTCCTTGGCTATTCGCCCAATGGGGACTTGATATCGTCGGACCATTACCTCGTGCCCTGAGCAATAAGCGATTTTTTATTGTCGCAACAGATTACTTCACAAAATGAGTCGAAGCAGAGGCACTAACGCACATTCAAGATACTGATGTTAAGTATTTTGTATGGAGAAATATCATCACATGATTCGGCATTCCAAGAGCACTTATTTCAGACAACGGCACCTAGTTCGATTGTGGCGTCTATCGGGAACTGTCCAGCACGTATGGTATTCGGCCTAATTTCTAGACGCCGGCTTATCCACAAAGCAAGCCGAAGCCTCCAACAAAGTCATCTTGGATGGCATCAAGAAAAGGCTGGAGAAAGCCAAAGGCAGATGGGTCGAAGAATTGTCGAGTGTCTTATGGGCCCATCGCACTACGCCGAGGCAATCCACTGGGGAAACGCTGTTTGCTTTATGCTTTGGAACCCAGGCAATCATCCCCCTAGAGATCGGCCTCCCAACCTTGAAATCGAAAGCTTTTGATATGGGCCAAAATGACATGATGGTGGCCTTGGATTTGACTCTGATTGAGGAACGACGAGACCGTGCCCTTGCATCCATGGCACGGTACCAGCAACAACTTGCTAAGTCGTATAATCAACATGTTCATCTACGCCATTATACACCAGGAGAATTGGTCCTCAATAAAGTACTCCCAGCTACCAGGAATCCGGCTGACAGCAAACTAGGTCCTAACTGGGACGACCCCTATCAAATCGATTCAATCGCAGGAACAGGGGCATATCGGCTCAAAGACATGTCCGGAAAAAGTCTACCGCATCCTTGAAATTCCACGCATTTGCGTAAATTCTATCATTAACCTGACTTGGGGGGCATGATGATTTATTTTGAATGTTCGTCGTGTACAAACTTTCACTTTTGTAATGCAAAATTACTTATCTCATTACATGAAATTTTAGTTTGAAGATGAAAGCCTCCGAATTTGGAGCCCTTCGTGGATATCACGATTGGCCAAGTAAAAAGCCTCCGAATTCGGAGCCCCATCAGTGAATGACACTTTTGGGCCGAATAAGCCTCCGGATTCGGGGCGCCCGTCGTGACTCACAATTAGCCAAGTAAAAAGCCTTTGAATTTGGAGCCCCATCAGTGAATGACACTTTTAGGCCAAGTAAGCCTCCGAATTCGGAGTGCCCTTCATGATTCACGATTGGCCAAGTAAAAAGCCTTCGAATTCAGAGCCCTATCAGTGAATGACACTTTTGGGCCAAATAAGCCTCCGAATTCAGAGCGCCCTTCGTGGATATCACGATTGGCCAAGTAAAAAGCCTCCGAATTCGGAGCCCCATTAGTGAATGACATTTTTGGGCCAAATAAGCCTCCGCATTCGGAGTGCCCTTCGAGACTCACGATTGGCCAAGTAAAAAGCCTCCAAATTCGGAACCCCATCAGTGAATGACACTTTTGGGCCGAGTAAGCCTCCGGATTTGGAGCGTCCTTCGTAGATATCATGATTGGCCAAGTAAAAAGCCTCCGAATTCGGAGCCCCATCAGTGAATGACATTTTTGGGCCAAATAAGCCTCCGGATTCGGAGCGTCATTCGTGACTCACGATTGGCCAAGTAAAAAGCCTCTGAATTCGGAACCCCATCAGTGAATGACACTTTTGGGCCGAGTCAGCCTCTGGATTCGGAGCGCCCTTCATGATTCAGGATTGGCCAAGTAAAAAGCCACCGAATTCAGAGCCCTATTAGTGAATTACACTTTTGGGCCGAGTAATCCTCCGGATTCGGAGCGCCCTTCGTGGATATCACAATTGGCCAAGTTAAAGCCTCCGCTTTCGGAGCCCCATTACTGAATGACACTTTTGGGCCGAGTAATCCTCCGGATTTAGAGCGCCCTTCGTAGATATCACGATTAGCCAAGTAAAAAGCCTCTGAATTCGGAGCCCCATCAATGAATGACACTTTTGGGCCGAGTAAGCCTCCGGATTCGGAGCGCCCTTTGTGGAATTCATGATTGGCTAAGTAACAACATGAATAAGCATCCGGCTTCGGTACGCTTTTCATGAATATTCTGTTAACAAGCATAAACTCAGTTGACGAAGGATGGAAGATGATTGTTAATATGTTTAAATACAAACTGAAACAACATGTGACATAAGCTGAAACAACATGCAAATGTAAAATAATATGTTTTATTGAATTAATCGATAATACATAATTCACTCCCAATTTACGTTAAAGCGGTACAACATGTTTAATTTAATTAGGCATCCCCCTCGTCATCGCTCTTCTTGACTTCGAAGGCTGTGAAAGGAAAATGATGACTTTGGTATAATGAGGACGCCGAATCAACGCCTGCTACCCGTAGAGACTCTGCGGCCTAGAAAGCCTCGATCCACCCATGCTTAAATCCATAGTTCTCACATCGGCAGACCTCCTCGACGAGCTTTTCCTTCGTCTTCTCTATCCTAACTTTTCGGCGTACATGAAAGCCTTGTTCGTAAGCCCTAGTCTTTGCAGCTTCTATGACAAACATGCTTGTCGTATCACGATCAGTAATCGCGTGACTTATAAGATGCTGGGTCACCCTCTCCTCTACAATCGGGTTAGCTAGGCCAGCCGAATGAGTTTCGGCAATTTTGACTTTTCTTAACTCCCCCTCAACCTTCTCCGCACGGGCCTCTAAGTTACGAATGTGTTCATCTTTATGTTCGATCTCCCGCCGTGCGGCATGAAGGTGCATGCTGATCTCATAAGCGGTATATAGTCCTTTCACCGCTCCGTGAATGCCCTCTCGAAACACTTCAAAATCTTGTCAACCAATCATCGACTGCTGGACTTCCAGCGAAAAATTTTTTCGTGCAAATTCGAATGCCACGCTTGGATCTCAGATGATCGAGTCTACTTCCGTCATAGATTTGTTCCCGATAAAGACTGAAAAACTCATCGGGCGTGGTGGCCCACTGGCCTCGCTTCGTGAATAAAGGGAGTTTCCCCGCTGTAGCTTCTCCCTTCTAGGTGACCTACTTCGATGACGTGGAGAGTGACGCCTTTCCCGTTCCCCAGACGTCCTACTTCCCGTTCATGAAGGTTCCCCACCTCGACACATCGCTAAGTCCAGCTCAGCCAATGTCCTACCTTCTCCTCTGCTATTGAAGAATAGTCTACTTGACATTCACACTTATCTAGCCTTCTTCAGCAAACTGGTTTGAGTTGAGTCTTAACACGCTAATGGGACCTACGCGCACGAAGCAACTCCCCTTTTTATTAACCACGGATGCACCGCTCCCAAAGCGGTCCCTTCAACGCTGCCCCAGCCGATTCATAAATGCCTGATAATCGGCGGCAATGTTCACTAATTCACTGGGGCAAGGGAAAATTAATTAATATATTCGGCCTTACGCAAGTCTTTGTGCTGAACAGATAGGCTGCCCCAGCCAATTCACAAATGGCAGATTCATCAGCCAATTTAGAATTAATAGCCGAATATTCATTGTGCCCCAGCAAACACCTGAACTGCCGTTATTAGGCGGCTTTCATCAACTCGCTGGGGCAAGGGCAGATTCATCAATCTATTCAGCCTAAATATCAGAATTGATAGCCGAACATCCATTGTGCCCCAGCAAACACTTGAACCGTCGTTTTTAGGCAGTCCTGTTGATCAACTTGCTGGGGCAAGGGCAGATTTATCAATATATTCGGCTAAGTTGCAGTGCTATACAGTTATTCGTGCACTGACTTGATTCAGTAGTTTGTTCTATTCATTTCATGATTTTACATCTTACTTAGCCGTTAAGCACATTCATCAGGCAGAAAATTCATTTCATGATTGTACAACCTACTTAGCCGTTAACAAGCACATTCATCAGGCAGAAAATTAATTTCATGATTGTACATCTTACTTAGCCGTTAACAAGCAAATTCATCAAGCAGAAAGGCAAAAGTAATTTTCATTCATAAATTGAGCACAAACATAAGTCATTTTACAAATGAAAACCACCCTACGTCAGTTTTTGACAAAAACCAATAGTCAAAAGCTGATAACTCCAACAAAACCTACATATACATACCACCAAAACAAAAAAAAAAAACAAAACAAAACAAAACAAAACAAAAAAACAAACAACAAACAAAATGAAAAATGTTGGACTCTAGATCAGTCTTCGGGGTCAAACGGCAACGGCTCAATGTCTACCTGCTCGTACGAAATCAGCTACTCCGATACCACGTTAGTAGCAGCCAAGGCTTTGAGTCAGCCGTGCTTGAATCCCTTATTTTTGAACTTCGGCACTTATTCTACGTAGTCCGCTAAGGCCGCATCCTTGCCCGCCAGGAATGACTTGGAAATTTTGGACTCGACATTTGCCATCGCCCTCTTCGACTCTTCTAAGTCGGCCTCCAGCTTGGCAATTGTTTCGTTGGCCAGTTTGAGCGTTTCTTCGTTGGCATTCGCCCTTCCCTCGGTGGCCACTCTCAATTCGTCAACAGTCTTGGCCTTATCTGCTTCAAAATCGGCCCCAGCTCTCTCTGCCACCGCTTTTATGGCCTCAAAATCGGCCCGGAGAGAGGCCTCTGCCACTTTTCCCTTCTCGTTCTCCAGCTCAGCTATAAGAAAGTCGATCTGTTCGATAGCGTCGTGCTGGCGACGGCCAATTTCAGCTATCCTCCCTGCCTCTTCGCCGCCTACAAAACAAGGGATCAATAAGCTAATATAAAAACTTTTCTTTCAATCAACCTTGTAAAATTACAAAGGGACACGTACCAATATCGCCGATTGAGTGGCTAATGCGATGGCCAGTAAATCAGCCTCTGCCCTAAAAGCTACTCTGTCAACTGGCAGAGAAATGAAGGACGCTAAGCTCAAGGCCACTCCTGGGTCTCTTATAATCGATGCATCAAAGGCAACCGACATGTTCTTTATCTTCGGTTGTATCGTAAACGACACAACCAAGTCAGATTCTTCCATGAGTGGCCGTTTGTCAATTGGTTCTTCCGAATAATCAGCTTCGTACTTAGCCGGGTGTTTTTCGCCCTTGTGCTCCATCACTTGACCCTCCAGTTGATCGACTACAGGTTCCATTTCGGCCACTTCGGTCTCAGCCTGTTCAACAGGAGCAGGTGGAGGAGTTTCTTCCCTAGCGTCGGGTGGAGGGGGTGGAGGTTGGACTCGCTCGGCTTCGGCTCTCCTACACGCAGCCATCCTCATGGCATTTTTTCGTCTGGCCAATTGAGTGAGCGATTCACTGGCCATGTTGTCTGGATAGGAGCTGGGTAGGTCCCTTAAGTCGGTAAATATATCCTCGAAAGACACCTCCGTTCAGCCGAAAGTGGAGGGAGGATTGAGGTCGGCTTCTTCAAAAGCCAAATTTAGTGCCGCATCAACCTCTTCCTCTAGTCTATCGAATCCGTCCAAAGATGGCTGATTCGGCTGCTCAGCGACTCCTTCGGCAACTTGTTCTTCTACCGGCTCTAAATCTGAAGCCTCAAAACCGATCTGCCTAAGATTCTTGAAACTCAGAAAAACAAGCGCCGTGAGGTGCTGTTCGCCCCTTGGAATCGGAATATGTTCCGCGGCCGAAAATATGGAATAATTCGGCTCATATCGTAGAAGAATGTGGGCTGCCCTCTCTTGTTTCTGGAGATTCAAACGGCCAACGAACTGGAGTACCATTCTGATATGCGCAAGTATGTCGTCGTCAGCCGAAACTAGAACTTTCTTCAAATTGTTTCCTACCCAATTAAAACAGTAAACACATAGAATTTGAATAGGAAGTATTTAGTAAAAATTCATGGGGAGTTAAACGGCCACTTGGTTCACCCCTTTGCCTGGGCACTGGATCTTGACGATCTTCGCCCTCGCTGAATTCCTAGTTTCCATGGACCATAACCATGACATCGTCAACTCGCTTGCCAGAGCTAGCAAGCATAGTGACCAAGTGATGGTCGGTATCCTTGGCCCTGAGAAAGTAGCGCCCCTACCGTCTAGAGGACTTGGCCAAGGCATAACAATGTCGAATGGCAGGGACTCCGAGGTTAAGCCTAAGGTCCCGGTTTATTTCGACAATACCCATTATTATTCGAAAAAAGTTTATCTTCGGATGAGAAGGGATTAAACCCCAATGGCAAAGGGCAACCCTTAAAAGTGGATGAAGAGGGAAACAGACTCCGCCCTCTGTAGACGCGCCCGCATGGGGGCCCCGCGACTACAGTTCGGACTCGATTTGTGTCACGGTTCTTAATCTGAACCAAAGAGTCCAAATCTGGCAAATCGTTTTGAGAAACAGATTTTTAGAAAAAGAAGTGCCAAACATGGACTGCTTTGCCAGATACAGAGTCGCCACCTAAATATTTTAAAATGGGGGAATTTAGGAAACCCTGACTCGGTGCCAAAGGCCACGTGTCCGTCATCACCAAAGTTGCCTCGGCTCGGGAGCTTGGGTACGATTGCGGAAGGTCAGCTATGAGCACCCCCTCTCGCCCGGTCCGAAGACCGGTCTCTACTAACCGTGATATCCGTTTATGAAAACGTTATGTGTTCTCATTCCAGTTATTAGCCTAGAATTACTATGTTATGCGCACAGCAAACAAGTATAGACTAGATTGCCTAATTTGGAAATAAGCATTGCATATCCGTTTGTCTTGAAAAACACTTTGGAATTTGCTACTTGGAAGTAGGCTAAAATACGGATTTCAACGAGTTTTTCCAACTCAGACAATCCAACCTTCACCCACAAGCATTCAAACAATTTATCACATAAGCATCTAGCCACATGGTAAACATGCTGTTTATGATAGCATTCACACGCATGCGATATGCTAAAACATGAAAATACTTACATCGTACTCCATGTCAAAACAATAAACTCATTAGTAAACAATGCATGATCCAAGTTCATGTTTAAATGTCTAATGTAACACATACAGGATGCAATTAGAGTGGACTCGGCTAACCTAAGCATGGCATGTGAAATGCAATCAATTGATGCACGTATTCATTTTGGAATTGAAGTACAAATGCAGTTAGCATGATGTACCGAGCCCGATGCGTGTGAGACAAATGTATGGATGCACGCATGCATAGCACAAGGTATGCTAATTTAAATATGCCCTAGTCTACCATCATAAGCAGGTAAATAAAAGGGAGAAAGAAGTGGGGGTTGGAAGACATGCACACACTCACCCACACTTATTACAAGTTTACCCTCGCTCGGAGGGACCGAAAGAATAATACAGTTCGAATAATGAATTAACTATCCTAGCTAATTAATTATTACAAATTACCTAATTAGTTAACAAATTAACTAAGCTAGGAAAAACAGTAAACCGCCTCGGGAAGAGAGCTCGATGCAATGCATGCTCGGTCTTGCTCGGGAATTCACTACCATGCGCAATATGCCTCTGTTTTCCCTGCTCTGCTCCTCTGAAGACGGTCAAACTCTCAGAGTTGCTTCTCTGGACATTGGGAGACACCACCGGCTGAGTAGAATGGTCACCGGCAGTGGTCTGGTGGTCATCGGCACATAATTAATCCATCGGCTTCCGGTTTATTACCGGTCGGCATTCTATGAAGTCGATCGGCAGAGAATGCCTGCAGAACCTGTTTGACAGCAGCAGAGGACAGGACTTTGCATGGCAATACAATTCAAGCCATATATGCACCAATCATGTTCCTTATCACGTGAGTGAGTCAAAGGGACATGCTCCTTGGTTCTCGACCACCAATCGCGCATTTCCATGCGTGATGGCCCAAGAGACCAAGTGTGCACCTTTTGATGTCAAATGAAATGCAATGCACACAATCAAACCAAGAGGCTTCTACCTCCATCATGACTTGGTCAGGAGGTAGAGCATGCATACCAATGCAATGCAACTCTAATCATGTGAGCTAGCATGCAACATGAGCATACAAGCAAGTGATGCGCGCTAGGAACATAGACTAGGCAAACAAGCATACAAGCATGCCACAACTATGCAAACTACTTAGAGCATGCAAGATGTGATCTAATCATGCAACATGCTAGTAATTTGACCAAGGGAATGCATGCCAAATGCAAATAATTTCAAGCATGCAACACATGCAACCAAAGCATGCAAACATGGGGTGATGTAACAACACTTGAATGGTATACAAGGGATGGACTTAAACATGATTTGGGCAGCTCTAATTAGGCCCAAAACAGTGGCCATAAGTGCCCAAAATGAAGGACTAATGGCATTCAAGCATGCATGTATACAAGGACCAATACTTAGGCATAAAAGAACAATTCTCAAGCACACTTGAAAGAGGCCTAACATGGACTAATGGCATGCAAGGTAAGCATTGAAAATCATGTTACAAAAGGTGCTAAGCCAATTTAAACAAGACAAACATTAGCATACAAACAAAGCAAAAATCCAAGACAAGCCAAGAGGCTTAAACCAAGTCTAAATCAACCGAGCCTCACAAGGCTAAGAGGATTTAAAATAGGTCTAAGGCAGGCCTAAACAACACCCAAGGGACACCTAGATGGCATCTAAGTGGCTCAAACTCAAAAGCATGCATAATGACCAAAACATGGAGCATGCAAGACAAACTTTCAAAGCTTCAAAGAGGCATCCAAGGCAAGCATACAAGCATGTTAAAGGGACTGAAATAACATGGCAAATGGTCCCAACACACTAAATTAAGGCAAGGATGCATGCTATACATTCACACACTTAAGGCCAACAAACCAAAAATGCAAAGGGGCCATATTAAACATGCCATGGCCAACCCAAACAACCTAGGATAGACCTCAAACATAGCAAAATAAGCATGAAAGATTCACAAGGCTAAGCCTAAAACATGTTGGAACAAGGGTTTACAACCTAAGGCATGTTAAGGCAACAAAGTGGCATTACAAGGTAGGTATGCTAAGCATGCATGGTATACCAAAACTAACAAAAAACAGAGGCATATTATGACAAAATAAGCACAAAAAACAACCAAGGCATGGTCAACAAGAAGCTTAGCTAGGTGCTCCCTCAAGAAGCCAAAAATGGTCCATTTCAAGGACAACAAGGAGACGGGGTGGCCCTCTCCTTCTTGAGACTTCAAGGCACCATCCTTACCACTGAAATCCCTCAAGATTTCAGTGGTGAGGAGGCCCAAACACCAAAGTCGCGGAGCTTACACAAAACAGCCCAAAATGGGGCCTCTCAAGGCCTAAGAGGGGTCAAACACCTCCAAACCACAAAACACTCTAAACAAACTATTTAGAGGGCCTAAAAACAGAACTTTTTTGTATTATACACTAAGCTCAAAACCAGTTCTAAGATAGGCAAAAATAGTATGCAAAAATGGGGAATAAAGGGACAACTTCTTACCCTTGAAGACCCTCTTCACCAATGAAGCTCCAGCAGCTTCTTTGTGCTCAAAACAGCCCAAGAACCTCAAGAACAACCTCTGGTCCTTCAAGAAACCAAGGAAAGGTGTAACACTATGTGTTTGTGTGCAATAGTAAGACACAAACGCACTTATACACACACAAAGGCCAAATGAGAGAGAGGTATAGAGATAGAATATGTATGGAACCCTAAACCTAAAACCAGAGCTCTCACACCATTTTTCTCTCTAAAATGTCTAACCTAGAGCCAAGAGGGGAGGGCTCCTCTTATAGAGGAGCCAATCTTGTAAAGCTTACAAGGTAAGCTAACAAGAAGTCCATCCCTCCATACACTTGTATGGAGGGGAACAAAATGCCATACAGCTGTATTAAAATATCTGCAAAAGCAGATGAACAGTAGTCGGCTGCTCAAAATTGCCATTTTGTCAAAATTGAGTGCCGACCGGTAACAAAGAATGCCGACCGGCAATATACATTGCCGATGGCATCAAAACACCAGCCGGTGGCCTCTGGACATGGCCGGTGATGTATGAGGATGCCTCACAAGGCATTCTCTGCCCTTCCAAGGCAAAACATAAGTGTTTGGTGTAAAACCAGACACTAAACAGTCGAGTTCGGAGATCCTGAGACAAGGCGCGTAGCCGAGACCTCCGGGAACTCCAAACGAACACAAACATGGATCTGCAAAAGCAGATGAACAGTAGTCGGCTGCTCAAAATTTCCATTTTGTCAAAATTGAGTGCCGACCGGCAACAAAGAATGCCGACTGGCAATATACATTGCCAATGGCATCAAAACACCAGCCGGTGGCCTCTGGACATGGTCGGTGATGTGTGGGGATGCCTCATAAGGCATTCTCTGCCCTTCCAAGGCAAAACACAAGTGT